ACGGTTATTTCGGTTAGGAATACGGATGTCGTTATTCCAGAGCACGGGAAACTCGACCTTGAGGCCATCGGTGTAACATCGAAAGAGGCGCAAAACCCGCCGACGAGGGCGGGCCACCCTGTTCATCCTGATTATACTACAATCGTCTCTATATACAATGCTGACTATAATAAGGTTAATATGCTGATTCAGTGGGAATCTTACGAGGTAATTGTAATATTACCTCGTAAAATCCGACATCGACGATGATTGTGTAACGCTCTAGCCTGCCGGGAATACGTGGTGGAGGTTTTGTTTCCTCGGCGGGGATTGGGGGGCAGCAGCCCCCTGCAATGGAAAGTTATGTGAATAACCATGGTTTCACTGTGCGTTATATTATTAGTGCAATTTAACCCCGCATTTTCCCTAGAACCTTTCATGCCCTCCCCTGCTATCGGGGCCAAGTTTGTTGCTAACGGGGGGTTTCCGCGCAATAAAAACTATATATTTGCAATGTGGAGAGTGAGAGGAATCAAACGATACCAAAATCGTCGATATCGGTTATGCGGACGTAATATAGAAAATTACCAAATATTTAGTAGGCGCATATCTTAAAAATTAGCGGTTTTTTTTTTATTCGAATGAAGCTATTATTTAATCAAATTTACTTATCAGTTTAATTTAATTTTCTGAGGAGTTAACAGATTCTTTTTCCGGTAGAAAATCAAGCCATCCCGGTGGCTTAAGAATACAGATATAACCCATACTTTTTATATAGAAATAAGACAGCGTGTTTAATGAATGACATTGCCAACAAAATCTGTAATATCATTAAGAATTTACCTGTATATTTGTAATGTCACGGACTTATTCAAATGCTCTTAAATAATCAGTATATTGTATCCAATCTCAGAAAAAGAAAATCTGACAACTCATCCCTGTTACTAAGTCTCCTATGTTAATAATAATAACAATAATAATAATAAAATAGTCTTCATACGTTTCGTATGTTTAACACATAGGATTCCTAATACATACTGACGTTTGCTACTTTCAACAGCTTTTTATACTCCAGAGTCCGTGGTGAGTTGCCAGTTGTTGTTTTTCTTTGAGTTTGGAAGCAATATAGTGAATTCTTGTTTAGGTTTATCCGGCCACACTTTCTGGCTTGGAGGAACCGATGTAGAGAGTGAAGGGACATGGGTCTACACCACAGGGGAGCCTGTTCCCATGGGTAAGTTTATCCTACTGTTGTTCTTTCCTCAAATCAGATATAATTTTCTTTTTACTATCTACCTCATTTCTCTTTTTTTCAAAAGTTAATGTAATTCGTGGTGGTTTCTTTCAGAACTTTATCTCATACTGGAGCCACCGAAATATTTTATATAAATCGAGTGTCAACAATTCATGAATATTGGCTTGTTTCAGGTTCCCCTTTCTGGGGTCTTCTGGATATGGGTGCTCCGTCCCAAGAACCCAATGGGGGAACCAATGAGAACTGCCTCGCGATCGGCAAATTTTACAATTTCAGGAGTTATTATTGTAATGATCAATTTACCCCACTGTGTGTCTACACTGGATGAGAAAATGGCATGGGAAACGTAGAAGAAAAATGATTAAATAGTACTAATGGCAAAACTAATTACTACTATTTTTATTGTCATAGGTAAAGTTAAAAAAAATATATATATGTACTAAGATGAAATACAAAAAAATATACATTTTGATACTGTATTGCAAGTATTCCTTATGTATATTAGTGACTAATAAAATATGCAACTTTATATACTTTCTTTTATTTCCTTTTAATCTCTTAACAGTTCAAAACACACATCCAAAACACAAAATTAGTGTAGCATTTAACAGCATTCTCTACATGTACCAAATCATGCTTTCTAGTCAGCAGGTAAAAAAGAAAGAAAGAAAGGAAGAAAACATGTAACAAATGTTTTTTTTTATGATTTATAATAAACTCGCTTCTCTAGTCTACTCACTTCTCCTTTGTACTTATGTACTTTAAATTCTAGGCGTCTGATATATTAACTAAATATATACACGTGATTTGTTTTACAGATGTAAAATATAAATGATATCAGAATATTGACAAACCCGGTTGTCTAATGAAACAAGTTTTATTCCATTTGCAAGTAAAGTGGAAATGGAAGAAATATTTCACACAATTAAAGATTCAAATAACATGTAGCAAAAATAAAGACACAAGATATTATGATATCATTAATATTTTACATCTGTAAATCAAATCACGTCTATCTTTTAAGTTAAGATGGTGTAAGACACCTTAAATTTAAAGGACAAAAGTAAAAAGACGTAAACCAGAGACGCAAATTGATTGAAACCATAAAAGAAACCATTTGTCCCCCTTTTTTTTTCTTTTCTTTTCTTTTACCTGCTGACTAGAAGCCATGACACCTTTCCGCCAACAAGGAACTGTCGCGTTACAGTTTCCTATGACTCCGCCCCTATTTATGTGGGCGGAGACATACATAAACAACTGCACCTGGCTGATGAGCGCGCGGAGCACCTCTGCCCGTTTTGAAACTGGAAGATATTGGAAGTTCAAATTTGATGCTACACTGTATGGTGCAATATTAGTAATGTTGATGATGTTAATGATATTATTGCACTAAGTACTAGCTTAAATGTATTTACGCGTGTGTGTCTGTGTGTGTGGCCACATATATAAATGTACACGTACATGCATATGTGTGTTTCTGTGTGTGTGCATGTATACATACATACCCATATGTAAACATACATACATATAAACATACACACACACACACACATATATATATATACATATATATATATATATAATATATATATATATATATATATATATATATATATATATATATATATATATATAAAGCACATATGTATACATACATGCATATATATATATATATATATATATATATATATATATATATATATATATATATATATATATATATATATATATATATATATATATATATATGTGTGTGTGGTGTGTGTGTGTGTGTGTGTGTGTGTGTGTGTGTGTGTGTGTGTGTGTGTGTATAAGTAAATATATATATATATATATATACATATATATATCTTTTCATCTCTTATTGGTTATGTAATGTAATATAATATAAAACATTCTACGTCTATGACTATGATACGATTCTAAGAAATATCTCCTACGGTTAGACAATATGGGAAGACATCAACATATTTACTAGATCGTCCTGTTCTAGCAACAGAAATAAAGTATTTAAAAGCTACACTACTACCATAGATAACAATATAGAGTTTAAGCTTTATATTGATATGCTTTCATATTAGCAGGGCCATGGCTAAGAAGAACGAGGTTCAGAATATATAACAGTTATACTTTAGTCTTGGGCATATTCAGGACTCCAAAAGTGTTCCATGGCGAATAATATACGGGAAAGTATTTCATGTTGAATCTACAGAATGTGTTAAAAGAATATTACGAAAATCTATATTAGGTTCTACATAAGAATCTTACTTATTATGTTTGTATAATTGAATATGCAGTCGTAAACTTATATATTCTTTTAATTGTAGACAATATCAATTAATAAATATTTATAGAAGTCTGATCTTCGGTGTCTATAGATGAAGGAAAAAGTAGTTATGAAGGAAAAAAGTAGTTTTCCGTCGTTTGATTTGTAATGTTGGTAACTAACAACTTGTGTTTATTGTTATTTCCAAATGTTACATCAGTAAAACTGTGATTTGTTAATTAATACAATTCAAAAACAAAATCAGATTCGTCAACTCGATAAAAAACATAAATAAGGAATAAAAAAAAAAAAATCGTAGACAGTGGCAGGTTGCTGTAGCCAAAGCTTATAAAAGTACTTACATAGACCTTGGGTGTCGCGACCGGTCCGGGGAAGTGTCGCGATTGAAATTTGCGACAGTTTCTAGTGTCGTAAGACAGTTTCTTGTCAGGGAAAAAAAGGTGATACTGATACCATGCTACTACTTCTACTATTAATAATAATAGTAATAAATGTTAACAATAATGATATCAATAATAATAATGATAGTATTAATGAGAATGTTAATAATAATGATAGTATTAATGATAATGTTAATAATAATGATAGTATTAATGATAATGTTAATAATAATGATAGTATTAATGACAATGCTAATGATAATGATAATCATGATATTGATGTCAAGGATGATACTAGTAATAAAGAAAAAATCCTATGCCTTAGATTTGCTTGATTAAATTCATAATGTGTAGCCCAGTATCTTTAAGGGCAAAGCCATAATATTGTCAGAAAATAATGAACGATTTGCTGATCAAAGGTCTCTTTCACTCACTCTCTTTCTCTTTCCTTCTATCCCGCGCTCTTTCCCTTCCCCTCCTCTCTCTGTCTTTTTCCACCCCCTCTTCCTCTCTGCTCTTTACCCCCCCCCCCTCTCATATCAAATATGATCCTTTGTTTGGAAGACAAAACATTTTTTTAACTATATACATATGAGCACAGAAATCGGCCAGCACTTATTTTTCATGTTGCTATGGTGTTTTTCTTATTCTTTATTTATGTTTTTATCATAAAATTGTTTTTTTTTATTCTCGCTATGGAGACTTCTAAGCCTAGCAATTCCATTTTCACGCATCAACCTATTACAGTATTTTTTTTCAATTGGTTTTAAATTAGCATTTGTTATCACTTATTGTTGTTGTTACTGCTGTTGGTGTTATTATTATTATTATTTATTCATATCATTCCTATTGTTATTACCATCATTATTATCATCATTTTCACCGAAATTATTCAACATATCTATTCATTACCCCCACATTTATTTTCTTACAATCCTACAGGAAATCAATATGATATATTCAGTGCCACAGCTAAAGTTATGTGAATTGCACCATATGTTTTCTCTTCTTTTTTCCGCCCTTTCTTTTAAATAAACAAGATAAAAGTCGTCATATGCTTACAACTTGTGCAAATTCTATAAACATCTGATAAGCACACTACTTGATAACGCATAAAAGGCGACCAAATGGCTGCTACACTGCACTGCTAGATATTCACTTATATAGGCTAGAGTAAGGTAAGTGGTATTAGTGTAAGTAGAGTATGTCAGTAGTTTGTAAGTAGCCTGTAAGTGGTCTGTGTGAAGCTGTCCAATTAGCCTTTGTGTAAATATTCTGTGTGGAAGGAGCCTGTGTGGAAGTAGTTTCTAAGTAGCTTTTGTGTAAGAAGTCGATGTGTCATCATAGTGTGTGTAAGCGGTCAGTTTTAAAGAATAATTGAATTAAGTAATAATAGCAATGAAAATAACAAGAACTGGTGGAAGAAGGAGAGCTGTTTAAGCAAGCAATAATAGTTTGTCATTTCAATACACACAAACCATTGTTTCCAGTGCAATAAGTGATATAAAGATATAGACGATTATATGCTATATATAGATTATATTATATATGGACGATTATAGTCTGTATACGATGTTCTTTGTCAGTTTTATGAACTTGTCACTTACTTATCAACGTCCTTTGAATATGGTTCGGGAAGGAACGGACTCACTTAACTGTCTTACCCTGACTCTTGTTGCCTGTCAAAACACACCACAGGTTTACTTGAGTTATTTTCAAAGTAAGAGGGATATTGAGGTCACTGGGGGCTCACTTCTCCCTCTCCGCCTTTCTTTTCATTCTTCCTCCACCTTTTCCTTCGTATCTCTATTTTTTCAGCTTCCCTTCCCTTCTCTTTCACCCTCCTTCTTTCCTCCCGCCCTTTCACTCCCTTTCCCTTTTTTTTCCCTGCTCCTGTCATTCTTCTTCTCGCTGTCTTTTCATCTCCCAAACATTCCTTAAATTTTATTCCTCTCCTATTTCAAGTCCTACATGTTCCCATGTTCCCCCTCCCACCTCCCTCCTTTCCTCTTTTACCTTCTTCACTTCCTTGGCTCCCTTATCCCATTCCTTCATTCCCTCATCCCCCTCTTTACAATGAACTTCCTTTATCTCCCCCTTCCTCCTTCCTCTCGCTTTCCTTTTCCCCACTCCCTTTACTCATTATGCCCCTTCTTCGTTTTTTTTTTTTTTTTTTTTTTTTTTTTAGTTCCTCCTCTCTCCTTTTTTCTTTAAGTCCCTCCCTCCTTCCCCTCCTTTCCTTTCCCCTACCCCTCCTACCTTCCTTCTTAACCTTCCCCCTCGGATAGTAGTGTAAATAATAGATGTGTATGAACTGGCGGTCTAACTACTTCTGTGCAGTGCGTACTTGCCTCACATTCACATGATGATTTAGGCGCATCATGCGAATGATCGTAATAATGATGATACTAATTATAATAGTAATAATAATGATGATAATATTATCAATGACAATAATAGAAATGCTAATGATCAATATTGTATTGATAATGAAAATCTACTTAATAGTTCTATTGATGTCTTAATGCTTATGTGCACGTGAGTTGCTCTTTATTTTACCAAATGTTAGATCAAAATGAAGCGATATAAACTCCACTCATATAAAATATAGTACTTATATACGATTTTGGAAGTAAGGTATTCCAGGTCCGCAGTCACATGTAATATATTTAGGAATGTGGAATCATGTGTAGAGTACGGACAGACGTAACGCAAGTGTAATGTATAATAACAATAAGCTTTACAGATGTAAATAAGGATTAAGAAAAATGAACAAAAATAGATTGGGAAATACTGAAAATACATTAGTATATGAATAAGATAATGTATATGTAGTTTTATATATGGATAATCAAGTATATGAATAGACAGAAATGAAAGTAAATAAACTAATATTCAAATTTTCCTCCCGACCCCCCAGATAATCTCAAGATGATGTCATACCTTCCTTTGATTTTTACCTGTGCTCTGTTAGTAGGTATGGGCTATGTCTGATCTAATTTTTCAAATGTATATCTATGTATTACTGAAACAAATACTTATGAAGATAATTAGCGTGTCCAGGTCACAACAAATCTTTGTTCGAGCATAAGTTGTGATAATCCACATGAGGGTTACAATGTTCATTTTACAGGGAAAGTAGAAGGGCGAGTTACCTGGAATCGAACCAAGTTGGAATCATTCCAAGCTGAAGTCGCTACAACTACTTCGACGCCTACGGAGCAAGACTGCCCCGGAGGCTACTCCCTCGTGGGCGACAAATGCCTCTTGTTCGTGACCTTTGTTGCCGAACCCTATGGGGAAGCGAGACAGTTCTGCCATGCTGCCAAAGCGGAACTAGCTGCCATCACCACGGCCACGGACTTCAAGAATTTAGTCGATTACATCCATGGCAGCGGTGGGAAGAAGCGCTAGTATTTTTGCATATTCTATTGGGTGTAGATTCAGAAATTCGGTCGATCATCACGGTGCTAATTCTGTTGTGTTCTTTTCGTCAGTTGACTACTTATTATTGTAAGGGAATCTAATTGTATTACACTGTGTTCCTTTTATTCATTAGTCATCTGTTCCACTAAGCTAGGCTAATTTGATAATAAACATTCAAAAGATTTCTCCGGCGCGGATTTCTGGTTGGACGGAAGCGACGAAGCAGAAGAGGGCGTCTGGGTGACGTCGTCGGGAGAAGCCGTGCCCTTGGGAACCCCCTTCTGGGCCGCCTTTGGAAGGGGTCAGCAACCTGATAACAACAATGGGAATGAACACTGCTTGTTCATTCCATCTGGTTGGTTTTTCTACATGGCGGATAACCCTTGTTCTGTCGTGAAGAACTTCATATGTGAAGCCACCAACCAAATGAGGAAGGGTGGGTAAATTTGGATTTTCTGATCAAATTCTTAGACTTAAGCAGAATACCTTTATTATCTCACTCGCTTGCGCACTCGCACAAACAAACACACACACACATACATACATACATACATACATATATATATATATATATATGTGTGTGTGTGTGTGTGTGTGTGTGTGTGTGTGTGTGTAGGTCGTTACAGGTTTGCCTGCTAGACTAGCACCGCCGTAAATAGTTTCATATTTATTAATTAAACGTTTCGAAGACGAATCAAATCTTCATCATCAGTGCTGTAATAATGAACCAGATAAAAATGCAATTAGACAAATTCATTAATTGATTTGGTTCTCTACATTTAAACGAGTGACACAATACAAAAAACGTAAACAAAAGAACGTAAATGACAGAAGAAAAACTGTGAAAAGACAATATACACATAAAACACAAAAAAATATATATACAAAAAAATAGAAATGATAATATGTAAAACTAACCTTGGTTGGAGGCATACAATAATCCAGGCCATGAGAGAGAATATCTTTCTATTCTTCAGTTAAGATTTTTTTCAGAAAAATTAAA